CATAGGTAGTTACAGACTTTGTAGGTTGAGGGAAAGAAGTTGAGGAGGTTAACTCCTCTAAAGATTGTGGTAAGACCTTCTGCTGGGTTCAGAGTTGAGGGGCTCAGCAGGAGTGATCATGAGGTTGAAATTTGTGCGGAGTGGTAAAAATGTGGAAGAGGTGCTGTGGCAAATGGGATCCCAACCTGAAAGTATACTGGAGTATTTGGAATACTACCTGTATGTATTTTCTTCAGATTGCCAGTTCTTTTATGAAATTGTCCTTATCCCTGTATTGGTTAGCATTCTCCAGACAGAACCAACAGGATACATATATACATACATATATATATTTATGTATGTATATATGAGAGGGGATTTATTAGAGGAATTGGCTCACATGATTATGGAGGCTTAGAAATCCCACCACAGACCATCTGCAAGCTGGAGACCCTGGGATGCAGGTAATAGGGCTCAGTCCAAGTCCTAGGCTTGAAAACCCAAGGAAGGTGGGGGTGGGGGGAAGCTGGTGTAAGTCCTGGAGTCCAAAGGCCAGAAAGCCTGCAGTTCTGATGTCCAAAGGCAAGAGAAGAAGAGAGTATCCCAGCTCCAGAAGAGAGAGACCAATTCACCTTTCCTCTGTTTTTGTTCTATCCTGGCTCCCAACCAACTGGATGGTGTCCATCCTCATTAAAGGTGAATCTTCCCCACTTAATCCGCTGAGACTCACAGGCCAATCTCCTCTGGAATCTCCCTCACGAACACAACTAAAATAATGCCTTGCCAATTCTCTAGGTATTCTTCAATCCAGACAAGTTGACACCTAAAATTAACCATCATAGTCTCCTTTGAATTCTCTTCCTCCTTTGATACCATCTCCCTCCCGACTTTGTTTCTATTCTTTTTGTGCCATTTATATCCTTCCTTTGATTATTTTTATACTTGTTTGAAACCATTAAACTATCTCTGAGATACTGTTCATTTAAGCATCTCCCAGATAGTAGACATCCAATTCATTGTTGCTGAAATAAATTTAATTCCACAAAGAAAACTGGGTAGTATTATCCCGATTAAAATGCTTCACAGTTGTGAAAAAAGAAATAAACCATTGGCTTTTTTTTATTCCTCTAAACTAACTTTTCCTTATCTATTTTTCATTCCTCACATGAATATTGTATATTTGGTCATGTTTTGCTTTCATAAGCCTTAAACTGTACACCCTTTGAATTCACACACTTTTACTGCCATAAAAGTGCCACAGAGATTATGAAAATAAACACTTCCTCTGTTATAGACATGGAAATTGAGGACCCCCCAAAAAGAGGCAATTTGTTTAAAACTGCAAAGGTCTTAAGTGACAGAGTCAGTGTTTGAACCATGTTTTCACTTAATCCAGTGTCTTTATACCATGATTTCCTCTCTCTCGCACTTTTTTGGGGGGTGGGGGGGCAACTGACTGGTACAGGGATCAAACCCTGGACCCTGGTGTTATCAGCTCCATGCTCTAACCAACTGAGCTAACCCACTAGCCCTCTTCTCTTAATTTGAATTTTATTTTATATCGTATTTATATTAGTTAAATTAATAATAGCAGTTATTTCTGATAAAGCTCCATTAAGATCAAGACACTGATTACTCTTCATTCTTTAAGATGCCACTATGGGTTTCCGTTGCTATGTGACAGGATTGATATTTTAAGGGCTTGGTAAAGTGCGACACACCAATTGGGTATTCAGTTGAAGGCTGTTTTATGATGCATATCTTTTGGGTTTTTTATGGTTATAATCAAATCTAAAATGCTGACAATAACAGTTGGTATATTAACTTTACTTCTCCATTTTATAGCTAATCTTTTATTTAAAACTCTGTACTTTGTTATATTGTAAATAAAAAATACTGAAAAAACAGAGAAAATAAGAAATATTCATTATGCAAACATAATGAGGAGGATGCTGTATATACAGAAATATACATGGTTTTTTCCCTGGGGAGGCAAGAGATGGCCTATTACAAACCACCATCCCTTCTATTTGTGGATGAAAGTAGAAACCACCAGCACATGAGCATTAAGAGCATTTTCCCTTAAAACATGCTCACATAATACCTGCGAGACCAACTGTAAAACAGTGAAAAATTAATTATCTGGCAGGGAGTAAATACATCAAAAGATTTGGTTTTGTTTAGTTTTGCTGAAACTATACTGTTATTACCAACTTAAAAATTATAGTTTTCTATTTGGCAAATGTTATCATTTGGACTTTAATTAAATTTTGAGAAAGAACATTTTTCCCAAAAACAAAAAAGAGATTTTTTTATATAAAACACACAGACGAATGTTGCCACCAGAAGTCTCCATCAAGAGGTACACTCCTACAAGTATGATTCTCTCGGATGATAATAGAGGTTGTTGGTATACATAACAAAGCTACACATTTATGCTGTTGGATGGCTCACAGTAACAGTGTTTTTTGATCTGGTTATATCAATATAATTCTTTCAACACTGATTTGCACTAATTTTCTCTTAACCATCATCCTTTATAACGTTCTTTATAATGTACTATTTTGCTTTGATAGTGACAGGGAAAGGCCCTCCGTAAGAACTTTGTTCTTACATCAGAAGAAAGTTTTTTAACTCCTCTAAATCATTGTTCCCTCAAATATCCCCCAAACAGTAAAGCCATCTAAATTTCCAAACCTCACAGCAAACACGATACATTGTAAAACGCCAAAGACTTTGAAACAGACAAGGCTGCCATTCATGTATTCCTTCAGCAATTATTTACCTAGTCCCTTCTAAGTGCCAGGCGCTGTTAGGAAATTGACAAGACAAACAGACAAGACAATTGACAATCCTCATAGTGTGAGACAGACATTGGGCAGACCCAACAAAATGCATAGAATGAAGGTGCCAGTACAAGGAGCCAGGCACACGGCAACCAGCCTAGTCTGGGCGAATGCGGGAAGGCGGCAGAGAAGTGATCAGCCGGCAGGGACTCGGGAAAGTGGGGAGGACACATACTGGGCAGGGGTCAGCATGTCCGGGAGAGAGCGGCCTACGCGGGAAGGAAGGGGACAGACGACAGGACAAGGTGCGAGCGGCGGGACTGGATGCTAGGGACTCGGGAAAGTGGGGAGGACACATACTGGGCAGGGGTCAGCATGTCCGGGAGAGAGAGGCCTACGCGGGAAGGAAGGGGACAGACGACAGGACAAGGTGCGAGCGGCGGGACTGGATGCGACTGAAACCGGGGTAAGCCAAGTCTGTAGGGCGGCCCAGGAGCAGAGCTTCATCGGCGGGCGCTGTAAGCAGGACAATGGCGTGGGCCGAGGGACTGGAAAGAAGAGGGGCGGACGAGCCGTCAGGAGCTCGCTGAAATTGTCCAGAAGAGAGACTGAAGTTAAGGAGTCAGTGAAGTTGAAAAAGTCTGTAAAGATAATTCTGAGGTGAAACAACAGATTTCAGGACCCCCCGGGGAAGGAGCCGACAGTGGCACACATGATTTATATCGCAGACTCGCGCCAATTACTGAACGAAGTATCACGTCGCCATCCACAAAGTGAGGGTCTTTAAAGTTAATCACGACCAAGTTTTATTTTTGGATATCGGGACTAAGACATGGGGATATCCCCTACACTCGATGCCCCCCAGAAGGGCAGGAAGAAGCGGGCTCACAAGTTGCTGACACTTCACCCTCCCCGCAGGAGGTACGGCGGGCCACGCAGCCGGGTGTACACTCAACCCACCGCCAAACATACGTACACCCTTTCCAGTATCAGATTACCATAAAGATAAGAGAGCACATGCCGCGCAAACGCTCTCACGTCCAGTCCCCCAAAACACTTTTATTGTCCTCCGTAACGTAGCCAGTAAGGCGGCGAAAGAACCCACACCAACGTCCACAGGCGGCGCATGCGCACAGGCCGCAGCGTGGGCGGAGGACGGGGCGGGAAGAATGTTTCCCAGAAGCCCCCGCCACTAGCAGCTGCCCTTCCTCC